GATGGGTATCATCCTGTGGACTCGAAACCTTTCAGAATGGCTTTTTTTGTGTGGTCTGAATGAATTCGTTTAGGCAAGGAAGTCTCCACAGCTACCCTAGCCTAAGCCGTCCACAAGACCCCTCTGTTTTTCAGTCTTCCAGTGATGGAATTAGCTGCGTGTCACTTTAACAGTTCTCTTATTCTGTGCCAAGACAGAAAGCCTGTTTTACCCGGGCTGGGGGTAAAATTCCACCCCCAATGACTAAATCCAACAAATCAATCATTTAGATGCTACTGTTTGTTCTCTTATTCTGTGCCAAGACAGAAAGCCTGTTTTACCCGGGCTGGGGGTAAAATTCCACCCCCAATGACTAAATCCAACAAATCAATCATTTAGATGCTACTGTTCCAGCATGAGGAAAGAAGAGGCCCAGCTCAGAATACACCCAGAGTCTCCTCGAGCGGAGGGAAGCTCCATTTGGCTGGATCCCTCCAAACTTAAGTCCCAAGAACAAGCCAGAACAGGAAAATAACTGCATTTGCATTTAATCAAATAAATTATTTGTAAAGAACGTTAACGCCCTGAGCTCAGTCCCTTCCACTGCTGGACTCTTTGCTTGGCTCTGTGCACATTCTGAGCTGCTTAGCTAACTGCAGGCCTGGCCCACTACCGGCTCAAGAAGCATCTGTCTTGCTGGGCAATCCAGACTGCTGGCAGAGGCGCTTGTCTGATACCCCACATTTGCATCATAGAGATGAGAGCTGCTGTTGGCCACATAAAGCAAGAACTTCTTTTGTTTCTAAATCATATCCCCTACCCACTCAGCTCTGGTCCCTTCCTATTTCTGAGCAGGCAAAAGACAGGGCTAAATAAAAGATGTTACTTTCATGCTGTGGCTGAGGCTGTCAATGGCAGCCTGGTAGAAATTAACAATCTGTCCCTTTCTAGACATGGAGCACTCCCATCCCACGCCCTGCAGCTGCCCCTAGAAGGGGTTTAGAGTACCCTTCTAAGAACTGTTGCAACTGTTTATGCAATTAAAATGTTGACAAAGGCCACTGTGAGCAAGGTGGCTTAGGGCAGCCTTCGCCAAGGAATGCCAATCCCTCACTGTTGCCGGAATGGCACACCGAGAGCTCAGCAGTGTTATCAGCCCACATTAACAACGGTCGGTCCGTTCTCACTGCATCCCACTCCACTGCAAGGATGTGTACGCTACAGTCCCGTCCTGGTCCACGGAGCAGAGAAGAACAGTCTTCTTGACGTTGGTGCCAAGCCGTCCTACGCTGATGATGTCACATAAGGAGAGGGGTGCATCTTGAGGCACACAGAGGGCGATATAATGGGCGTGGAACCTCATCGGGTCACCTGTCGGGGTGGGAGGCAGAATAATTACCAGAGGAAGAATGCCCAGGCTGACTTATGAAAGACCTCTTTCTTGACGACTGCTTTGCATTATTCTAGAACAGTGGTGGGACCTGCGGCAATTCCAGGTTAGTTACCCACGGGGGCCAGAGGTGGCACTCAGAGCCCTCTCTGCGGGCACGCATGCCATCGCCCCAGCCAGGCCCAGACCATCATTAAAGTGTCGAATTCTCTGCCAAATAAATTTAAGTAAATGAAAGCATTTGGGATTGCTTTCCTTACTTTGTTTGGATCCTCTTAAGTTAATGTATGAGTTGTTTTTTCTAAAGTGAAACGTCAGTATTCAGGTTAAATTGCCGTGTTGGCACTTTGCGATAAATAAGTGGGTTTTGGGTCGCAGTTTGGGCACTCAGTCTCTAAAAGGTTCGCCACCACTGTTCTAGAACAAATGGGTGCAAGTTTCTGCACTTCTCCAAGGCTAGCAAACTCCATAAGAACCCTGGGGCTGGCAGTTCTGCAAGTGAGGCTCTGAAAGATTTCTCAGCTCCCTGCCATTCCCAAGAGACTGTGGGAACAGCTATGACATGGGCATGGTTTAAAGTCTGCTGCTGCTGGGACTAAGGGACGGGAAAATTGACGGGAAGCTTAATAATTTCCAAGGAGGATTCCTACAGATATGTCCTTCCTTCAGATTTTTAATAACGTTTTACCAGAATGCCACCAACTCCCTGCCAGCCCCAGACATTTCCTCTACCTGGATAAACAAGGAAGTCGCCCCCAAATTTGCTCCCACTGGTGATATAGTAGCCTCGTTCCCAAAGGTTCTGGAAAACATGGTAGCGCATCTCATGCTCTGGTTGTCCACTGTATGGCCACTCTTTGGAGGGCAAACGCCAGTCCACCTTTTCTTCCTGTCCCCGTTGGGTCCGCTCTGTTGGGAGTTGGACCATCATCGCTTCCCGGGGAAACACAAAACTAGGTTCCGAGTCTGCAGGTTTTGATGGAGGCTCTGGAAACAAAAGCAAAAATGAGAACTGGCTGATCTTGCCCACCTCCTTGTTCATCCTGCTGGTGGCTGATAAGACACAGAAAGTAGCATCAGACTTTATGATCCCTTGGAGGAGAAACATTTCTAGCAACTTTACTCCAAGCTATTTAAGGCATCTGTAGATGCCACCTATGCTCAAGATGCATTTCTATATAAACAATCTGATTTGTTATCATGGTTGTACAGAACTTGTTTTAGGAGCCATTAACTTCAGGAAAAGTTCTTGGTGATGCAGGTCAGAGGCCCAGAACGACATTTGAAAATAGCCTTTCACTATAAGGAGACATAAAACAGTAGTTAAGAAGAACGCCATGTAAATAAAACCACTGGATAGAAGAGAAACAGCAGATACAAATCAAGTTTATTCCTAATCTGAGCTATTTTAAAATTTATTTCATACATAATGACAAATACAGAATAAGGAGCTACTTACATTACTAACTATAATTAAAAATCGACCTATATGCACAATTTTTTAAACTCCCAAATAATTTGTTTCCACTATTATGTCAAAAGGATTTATCTGAGCTACTTAATCCTTTAGGAAGAGCCTCCTCACACAGAATCCAGAACTGAGCCTGGGCTCTTGTACTTTCCAGTGCCATTGCCGAGAGTGCCCCTGAGCAGGTACAGAGTGTTTTATCCCTGAAATGGCCCATATCAAGGTTAAGGATAAGTAATTCCTCTGCTCGATGAAAATGGCAAACTCTACTCTGCAGTTTGTACAAGTCTTACAATAGAATGCAGAATGTATTACAGACTTAACTGGACCACAAGATGCTGGGTGCAAAACAGGTTTCAAAATATACCAAAGCCCTAGTAGACAGGGAAGGGGAAAAACATTTCTCTTTAGAATACAAAATCTACAGGGGTTGGGGGCATTATAATGACTTTTTTTCCCAGGTTGTTCCAGCTTCCCAGTCTGCTGCCGGATTAGGTGGACAATTTCTTTGATACGGCATGGTGGTTCTTACAGGATGCAGGATGCTCTGCAGTGCGTTTGGTGCATATAATGCTAGCACTGCATCCAAAGTACTGCTTGATCAGCCCAAGGCCTCCTGCATCTTCTTTCTAACAGTGGCCAGCCAAATATATCTAGGAAGTTCACAAGCCAAGGCAGGATGGCAACAGCCCTGATTGCCTCTGGTATCTGTCAGTTCGAGGTATACTGCCTCGATATAGGGAGGTTCCATTTTCTTATCACAGTCCCTAGCCATTGATAGTCCACGAACATCCAATCCCCCTTTTGAGCTAGTGGCCGCCACCGTGTCTTTCGGCAGTGCCTCTTAACACACAACAATCTGCTATTCAAAGGACAGTTTTCTCACCATCTGCTATTAATGACATTAGGTGATTCGAAGGTTATGAAAGTGGAAAAACATTCACAGCTTCAATGCTAACGCATGGAATCCTAACACCTTCAAAGCCATAAATGGAATTAAGAAATATTTATAGTATCTTATGTGGGATGCTTCCAGTATCCTCTCCTTTCTGGAGCATCCACATCTTGCTATGGACAGAGATATGATATACAGGATTGGTCCAGGCCGGTCTAGCTGTTCTCTTATCCTTTTGGACTCTCCCCATCTCCTTACCCCATGCAAAGGCCCCATAGAGCAAAAGAGCGACACTCACCTGCTTCTTCCCCTTTCTGCTGCCGTTTCTTTGCCCGGCCCTGCGCTATGTGTTCAGCCAGTGTGCCCATCAGGGCCTGCCTTTGTTCGCCAGCAAGCCTGACCTGCTCCCGATAGCTCTCCTCTTGCTCCTTTTGGTAGGCAGCCACTGCCTCCAAGAGGGAGGGATCCTGCGAACACAGGCAGGCAAGCTCAGCACCACTCTTTCTCCACCTCTGCATCCCAGAGTAAATCCGAGCCTCAAACTACATTTTATCCATTTCCACCGGGTTCCTGCAAATGCATTGGCTTGGCCAGAGTTTTAACGGTGGCCTTAATCCAGATCCATTATTGGAACTGTTGCACAGTCTGGATTAGTTCCTCCCCCTGACTAGGAATGTAATAGGGAAGGATTTGCACTCTGGGGAGAGGAACGGAGTCACGCAAGCCGGAAGCGTCCTGCTCCCTGAACACTGGGAACATGAGGGACAGTGAGAAGGAAGTCATAAAGAGCGTTCCACTTGCCCGCCCACACCTTTGGATCGGCTCTCAGGAACCAGCTTGGGGCAGGAGTGGATGCTGCCCTGAATGGGGAATATTACTCTGGCGCTCCTGCCTCTTATACCATCGGCCGCCAGTGAGGGACATGACCTAATGGGGCTTGACCCTTTGTTTTTTGAATTTTCTTTTTAAAGACAGGTGCAGGAAGAATGAGTGGCTTTATTTTCAACCATTCTGCAATGGTAGATGGGTTTTTGTTAACTGCACTGATGCACTTCAAGGTTTCCCTCTTCTTATATCTCTATTAAACATGAACTTCTGTCATTCTTTGCCTCTGGGTTCCCTAAAAAGTGACAGGGGAAACAGGCATATAGGAGGGAAGACTGTAACTGGTGGGCCCCATCCTGTCATTCAAGAAAAAGAGATTGGATTTATACCCCACCCTTCACTCAGAGTGGCTTACAACCTCCTCTCCCTTCCTCTCCCCACAGCAGACACCCTGTGAAGTAGGTGGGGCTGAGAGAACAGCTCTGAGAGAACTCCGGCTTGCCCAAGGACACCCAGCAGCTGCATGTGGATGAGTAGGGAATCAAACTCAGTTCTCCCAGATTAGAGTCTGCGCTCCTAGCCACTACACCAAACTGGCGTGGAAGGGCTCCTGGGTCTGAAAAGATTGCAGGATACTGATCACTATGCAGACAATGGCCTCTATGTGACCCATCTTTCATGCTCATCCAAGTCGACACCAAATCTGCCAAGAATATGTTTTTCCCCCTTCTGCAGGGAGCTGTCCAAGATCAGATCAACCCTTACCTGGCCTGCATCATCTGCCAAGGGCTGAGAAGTCGGGGTTTTAAGAAAGGTTGCCACACCCTTCTCTGCCAACAGTCGGGCCTCCTCTGGGAGCAACTGGAGGGGAAGGCCCAGCCGCATGTTCTGCCGCGGCTTCCGAGGCAGCGCCCCAACCAGCGTGCCGACGATGCGGTGTTCTTCCCGGATACGCTGTGCATCACCGGAATTCCACACAAAAGCCTTTCCCTCCAGGATGTGGATTTGGATCATAACAAGGCCTGTATGTGTCTTTCTCTGCAAAGAAGACCAATTGTGATATTCATAGGCTTCAGAGGTAAGGCTGCTGTTTGCAGATGTCTCCCAGCAGCCTCCAAATGCACCTGATGCTGTGGACAGATTAAGAATACCAGTCTCTAGGTGGGACCTGGGGATCCCCAGGAATTACAACTCCTCCCCAGACTAAAGAGATCCATTCCCCTAAGGAAAATGGCATTGTACCCCACTGAGGTCCCTGTCCTCCCCAGGCTCCTCTCCCAAATCTCCTGGCGTTTCTCAACTTGGAGCTGGCAACTCTATGTATGATCCCTTACCTGAATTGACAGGTGGCTGTTATTGCCTGGGGTTTACTAGTCCAAACGGTTCTCCCCCTGCTTTTGCAGAAGAAATCCGGAAAATTTCAACAACTATATAATGCCACTTACTTAACAAGGGCCCCTAATGCACCATTGTCTTCAAGAAGAGTATAAATCATTCTCTTAACTTAAACGCTACGGATATATTTACGGATGTATAATCCTTCCTAAGAGCTTTTACGGCTACTTATAAAGGAAGGAACTAATTCACATTTTGCATGATCACATTTTCCCCCAACGCCTTCACTACCTTAGGCCGTGATTCTACTTTACAGTAAAATTCGCTGGACTACGTGGGGCTTACTCCCGAGTAAACTTGCAGCGGATCGGGCTGCAAGTAAGTGAATGGGAGTCTCCGTTGCCTATATCCCTGCTCTTGAGTTATCCGATCTCCAACCCGTTCCCTCGGTAGTCCGGACCCTCCCACTCCCAGCACGCTGCCCTCGCCTTGCAAGCCCGGGGATCCGGCCCCGCGCCTCGCGTGCTCAACTCATCAGTCCGTTTTGCGCGCACACGCGGGGAATTCTCTTTTCCAGTCCCCACCCCTTTGATCATCCCTGAGTGATAGATACCTTGACCAATAGATAATGCAAGAAGCGCCAATGGCTGCCCTGGTGGTGCAATGGAGGAGGACGGGAGAGGGGAGAAGGAAACCCACCCACGGCTCATTCTCGCACCGAAGCAAAGGAAGCCGCGCAAGAGAGGCAGGAAACGGGCGGGCCAGTCAGGAAGAGGAGAGGCGGGTAATTTTGCAAGGAGGCAGCCGGGGGGCGGGGGGACTGGTCCCTCTCAGAAATGGGTTTTCCCAGGTCCTGATCGGCTCACAAGTGCCTAAGCAGCCGGCGGGCGGCGACCCCTCCCCAAGATCCCCTTTGGCCAGCTGCCTGCACGTGGGAAGGGACCGTCCGCGGAGGTGAGCGCAGGACGCGGCATGACTTGGAAAGAGGGGTTCGTGCCCGGTGGTTTTAGACCAAGGGGGATGCCGGGAGCCAGGACGCCTGGGTTTGGGGGGCGAAAGAGGAATCTGGTGGCTTTGAAGCCGGGGGCTTAGGGCTAGGTCCCAGGTCACGGCCCAGATTCTCGGATCGGGGATAGGAGCTCTGCCTTCGCTTATGGTTAGAGAGGAGACCGAGGAGGAAGGGAAACTGTATGGCCCTAAAACACACGTGCCTTATTAGTATCAGCCAAAGTGTCACAACTGAGTGCAAGTTTTCGGGTAGCCCCACAACTCTGCCTCGGTGTGGCTCTCGTTTTCTTTGGGGTGGGGTGAAATATCTGTGTAGGTCTGGTTGGTCCAGGAATTCTAGTATTCAGTGGGTGGCTGGGAAGATCAATAGTTGATGTACAGCCTCTAGACTATTAGACCGGTAGTGCATGACTCAAGCACTGTGAGGGCCTCAGCTCGAGAAGAAAGGTATTTGTGTTGCAGTTTCCACACCGTCATGTATAGACCCCCCCTGGATTTCATTGCGAGTTCCTTTTTTCTTCTTCAGGTCAGAGAACTCCTGCCCCTGCTATTAAAAAGAATCCTCAGGATTTTAATTATGTTTCAGTTTTAGGATCGGTTGCTTTCCAAAAAATCATTCCCCAGCACTTACCCTGGAGCACTCTCAGTTTGGTTAAACCTTAAAGCCCAGCTGCAAACTTAAGCTTTCACTGGATTGGGAAGAGATTGAGACAGAGTCTGGCAATGGTTAAAACACTGTTGTTGTTATGTTTTCTAGAAATGTCTTTGCTAAGTATTCACAGTATTTACTCAAATGCAAGACTTAAATGCAAAAGGTATGTCATCAAAAAAAGGAAGTCATCTTGCATTTGCGTGCATGTTTCAGTTATGTCCGATAAACAAACAACCTTTATTGGCATAACAACCGAATTATAACAGGGAGGAAACAGTCTGAACAGCCAAGGCCCTACATTGCTCGCTTCCTAGCTGCAAGGTACACAAATTTGGCCACAGTTTCGATAGTGCGGGGCTGTTAAACAGGTTAAATACTCTGGCATATACCCATAGGGTAAAATCCCCAAGCTACATCTACTTTTAGCAAGGCTCCTAAGATCCTGCATCTCGATGTCAAGGAGTCTTTGTTTGATCTGTGCAAAGGCTGAACTTTCGGTAAGGGAGGATAAATCGTCAATACTGATCCCCATTGAATTGATTTTCTTTTCTATGTGGTTTAACCACATTGAGGACTGAGACTCCGTCAGCATGTGAAAAATAAGGCTACCATTATTATTCTTAAAATGTAGATGTAGCCGAAATTTGATTGTATTAATCCATGTCCATGCTTTAGTTTCAAGGAGACTTTGATTAGTCTCCAGGCAGATGGCCGCATAAGGCACACACATGGGCAGGCCCAGTATTTTTCGAAGGAAGTCAGATTGTATTCTTTCCACTTCCTTATTGAAGGCCTTGATCCAAATAGGTACTCCATAAAGCAATTTTGCACTAATCTTATGACTGAATGCTCTAATAGCTGCAGGAACATATTGATTACCCTTGGTAAAATAAAAACGGATAAGTGCAAGTACGTTGCAGTCCACAGCTTTTATCGCTTCCCTGCTATGAGGAACCCAACTGGCTCTATAACGGAAACGTATTCTTAGGTATCTAAAACTTTTAACATGTTCGATCCAGTTGCCTCTTATATTCCATATTGAGGGTTTCCACGCTTTTCCAAAAGCCATGATTTTTGATTTCTCAACGTTCAAGGTCAATCTGTTTAGTTCACAGCATTCATAGAAGTGTGATAATAGCCGTTTCATTCCAATTTGTGAAAGGGAAAGTAACACTGCATCGTCTGCATATAAAAGCAGTGGAACGTGGATCGACCCAAGTTTGGGACTGTGGCCATCTATGTCCTCCAAGAAAGAGACCATATCATTTATAAAAAGATTAAAAAGTTGTGGGATGTCCAATAATAATTTTTCATATGTATAATATTTTAAGGGAGTCATCATCTTGCATTCAGATTCATCTTCCTTTTGAGTAAATATGGTATTAGGCAGACATTCAGTGAGGGCCTTGAGGTTCAATCAACACTTCAAAGAGGAGTTCCTAGTCTTAAAAAAAATCAGCTCTTCAAGCATCACACAAAATTCTCTCTTTACTCTTCCCTCCCTGGAAGTCTACCCCACAGTAATATACATCAGGGCGGATCCTACTACTCCAATGAACAAACTTCCTCCCATCTTTTCATTTGGCTCAATCATGAAGCCTTCTCCAACTTAAATCGTTCCTTTAGAGGAAGAGACGCAAGCTGGAAGGAGACAACTTAGAGGATGGTTAGATCCACGCCATCATCTTCTGTCTTTTGGTCCAGTTTAGTCGTTCCATTTTGTCTTCCCATCCTACTAAACCTCTGTCATTCCATCTCTTGACTATTCCTTCTTCCTTAACCCCACAGGCCTCTTTCTCTGCACCCCTCAGTGCTTTCTCTTTCTCTACTTTCCCATTTTGGCCCCTTCTGTTTCACTTTTCCCACCCTACGAGGGATCAGCTGTAGAACATCTGCTTTGTATTCCGGCAGAAGGTCTCCAGTTTAAAGGATCAGGTAACAGGTGATGTGAAAGACCTCGACCTGAGACCCTGAAGAGCTGCTGCCAGTCAGAATAGATAAGACTGACCTTGATAGATCAAAGGTGTGACTACATAAAACAGTTGTCTATGTTCACAGGTCTCTTTGCCTCCTACCTATCCCCTCTCTCCCCCCCCCTTCTTTCCGTCCTCTGGTTTTGTAGCTTTGTTTCCTTGGCTTGGAGCTGCGGTGGCTCAAGTGGTTAAGACGCTGAACTACAAGCTGTGGAAGGTCAGTAGTTCAGCAGTTCGAGACCTGGGTGCCGCATGATGGAGTGAGCTCCCATCTCTAGTTCCAGCTCCTGGAACCTTTACCTTTCTTGGCTTTGTTCTACAGTGCTGAGCTTATCAGTGCTTGTACCTGCCCACTACTCACCAATGAAATAGGCCTGATTTAAATGCGACTCTGATAGGCAAGGGGAACCTACCTGTGCGATTTTGCATGCCCTCAGTGTCTTGTTCAAATTGGGCTGCTACCAGTGTTACCTCTAAGCTGAGTTGCTAGCTCACAGTTTTTTAGCCTCCAGCTCACACATTTTTGCCTTAGCTCAGGAAGGATGGCTCCAGAGCAAACTAATTTATGCAGTAGCCAAATCGTTCGCTCCCAACTTTAATGCCAGTAGCTCACAAAGTAGAATTTTTGCTCACAAGACTCCACAGCTTTGGGGGAACATTAGCTGCTACCCGTACAGAGCAGCTACGTGTGCAGTGCTAATATGGCAGAGCCGCAGATGTCTGGCCTACAGATCTCTGATGTTTTAACATTGGGGAAAGTGTGAGGGTGGCAGTGGCGCAGATTAAAGAAGGCACTCTGGATGCATATAAAACCAGATGAATAAGTCAGGCTTCGGCAAACCCCCAGGTTGCCACGGCGCCTGGAAATATCAATTGTGGTGCCCGTTATTTTCAGCAAGGATTTTATTGTAGCATCTCTCAGTACCAGTACGAAGCTTTCTTTATCATTTCACAGAATATGTTTCATTGTAGGAAGCTGAACTGCACCATGAAGTTCTCATCACTGTTTGTTTACATGTTTTAACGTTCACGTAGTCAGTGGTGGTAGATGAATTCATTGGGGGGGGGAGCCCGCGGGGATGCCTGGGGATCAGGATTCCTGGGTTCTTTGCAGCAGTGCTTGCTGTATCTAAAGGCCCTTGGTTCCCCTCCCTTAATCTGGCCCAAGGATTTCTACTTAAATATAGAAAGCCTGGGTAGTGAGACAGCGGGGGATTAAAGAGACAAGGACATTGGCAAAGGCCACTGGGAGAAAGTTGTGTGGGGGCGGGGATGTTTGTGCGAGAGTGGAACTGGAACTGGGTGTGATTGGCTACAGGACACTGTTCACCAGGGGGGGATAAATTGTGATCTGTTTTCACAGATTTAATGTAGAAATTGGGACTTAAGAAGGGAGGAGCAGCTGTACCTTCAAGAGGGATTTTCACCAGTTGTGGCTTCTTGGCTGCGTAAACTTCTCTTAAAGGCACCGCATTTGGCAATCCTGTCTGTGAAATCTTTGCACAACTTCCCCGGTTGCATATCTACTCCCTTTTCTTCCTCAGTAAACAAGGACACGTAGAGTTGCTTTCCTTACTCCTGCTGTATCCTATTAGTCCACTTTCAGCTCTTGGAAGAACTCCTGAGGGGCTTGAGGCAGCACAAATCCATCCCTTCTTGGCACGCTAGGACCATCCTTGTCAAAGGGTAGACTCTTCTGCCTTATCATGTTTTGTGTGCGGATTCTTGTCCAAAGTAGAGTTGCCAGCTTCTTTTCCTGGCAGAGCTCTGATGCCTTAGTCGCTGCCAGACAGGCAGAAATTCTGACAGGAACTCTTTTTCCTGGCCTGAAGCTGAAATGATATGGATAAACCATCACCTCTTGTGTTTTCATGGGTCAGGCAGGTGTTGAAGACATGGGGGTGGGGGTGGCTGGCAACCCTAATTTGAGGTTGTTGGGGTTAAAAGGTGGGAAACTATATGTAGACTTGGACTTCTGGCTATAAGCCCCAACTCTGACCTTCTGGATGCTACCCTTAGAAATCCAGTATTACAGGTCACTCTGCTTAGGAGCTGCGGAAGGTAACAGCGTTCCGTGCGCCTTGGTGTTTAGTCATGACGGCCACATGACCACGGAAATGTCTTCAGACAGCGCTGGCTCTTTGAAATGGAGATGAGCACCACAACCCTAGAGTCGGACTCGACTGGCTTTCGAGCAAGGGAACCTTTACCATTACCTAGCCCTCTGCTTGCTATAACTGACCAGACCTCATTCATGTCAGGATCCCTCGCTGGAACACATGAAATGTCAGCATCCTTTCGTGTTGACTCTGGGGTCCCAGGCATAGTTCCCTCTAAGCTGAGTTGGTGTGAGCTAGCTCACAGATTATTAGCCTCCGGCTCACACATTTTTGTCTTAGCTCAGGAAGGAGGGCTCCAGAGCAGACTAATTTATCCCGTCTCTCGTTCCAGCTCCTGCCAACCTAGCAGTTCGAAAGCAAGAAATTGCAAGTAGATAAATAGGTACTGCGTTGGTGGGAAGGTAACAGCGTTCCGTGCGCCTTGGTGTTTAGTCATGCCGGCCACATGACCACGGAAATGTCTTCGGACAGCGCTGGCTCTTCGGCTTTGAAACGGAGATGAGCACCGCAACCCTAGAGTCGGACTCGACTGGCTTCCGAGCAAGGGAACCTTTACCTTTACCTAGCCCTCTGCTTGCTATAACTGACCAGACCTAATTCATGTTAGGATCCCTCGCTGGAACACATGAAATTTCAGCATCCTTTCGTGTTGACTGTGGGGTCCCCCCAGGCTTTTTGACCCAAGAGTCCTGGATTTCCTGCTTTTAACGTTGCCCAAGAGTCCTGGATTTCCTGCTTTTAACCTATACCGTCTTCACAGACTCACCCATTTTTTCCCTCTCTGTCCACCCTCCAGAATCCAGCCTTTTCTGACTTGGGGAAGATCCGCCAGCAGCCATGTCACCTGAAGAAATAACCTACTTGACTGTGCTTCTCATCTCCATCCCTATTGGTTTTCTCTTCAAAAAAGGGGGTGAGCGCTAGACCTGGGGGTTGTCTACATGGGGAGAAGGAAAACCTTGCCTCACCACAGCAGGGGGGTTGCCTGGTCCCGACCTTGAGAGGGACTCGCAGGGAACTGAGACGTGGGTTAAGTCTTGGTGCCGTCACAAAGATGTAAGAATGTTTAGTTGGTTGGAGGGTTGGGGTGTCAAGAAAGCAGAACTGCTGGGGTGGAAGCTCTGCTTAATCCACCAGACATTCAGAACCAGAGTTAAATTCCTGCCAAGGCCATTGTATTGATCAGCAGTCGTGAGAACTCAGTAGCTTGAAGACAGGTATCGCTCCCTCCTGCCCTCCGGGAGCTGGTGTGTTGTTGTTTTTTTGCTGGGGGGGGTGGGGAGCCCTGCTTCTCCCTGCCCTCAGCTATTCTTCTACAGTTCCCACCTCATTTGATGGATCTTTTTGTCGTGTCCCCCCCACCCAGTTTGAGCAGGCTTAAATTCCTGACATGTTTAGCTAGTTAAACATTGATCAGTGCCTTTTTAAAGGGAGAAACAAAACCATTTTGTTTTTTAATAATGCACTGTGGGGTGGGGGTTGTGACTTCCTTCAGGGCCGTTCTTTGTTCCTTGGATTCAGTTTGGAAGCTTGTGTTTGTGTCCCGAAAGGCATGAATTTGGATCCATAGTGGTCCATGATGTGTGCCTGTATTTGTTCACTAAAAAGGGGGGGTACTTGCCATTTGTGTGTGTGTAAATGCTTGTATGTACCTGACTGCATCAGAGTTGTTCATTTCCTTCCCCACAGGACTGAGGACCAAGAAGTTTGGAGGGGCAGCTGCAGGGCTTTTGCTTGTGCTGGCTACCTGCCACATCCACGCCCTCCACTCACTAGTCACCATTCTTGGGACGTGGCTTATCATCAGTCTCTCTCCCAGGTAAAGGAACATGTCGTACTCTGTGCGGTGGACTACAGCGGGGGCTGTGGATGCTCCAGCTTCTCTTGGTAGGCTGGGAAGCCTTGAGTGTGGAAGTGGAGATTGGGAGGAGCCAGGACATGTTGGCTTTCTAGGGGCGGGGGGATGTTGTTTGGGCTCTTGCAAGGGATTCTGAGAGCCACCAAGTGGTCTGAATTTCTGGGACTCAGGAAACAAAATTTGGATGCAGGGAACTGGGACTCCTTGGTCTCCTAGTTGTGAGGCCTGCTGAGATCAAACAAAGGAGAAGTATTGGGTGGTCTTTAGAGAGAGGAGCCATTCCAGTGAGTTGGCACACAGGGCCAAGCGTCTGGACTCATCTGAAAACTGGAGTTGGGGGGGAGGGTCTTGCAGCTGGAGATAATTGTTAATGAGAAATGGACACTTTTTGCGTGGGAGTAGAGAATGGGAAACAATAGTTTCTATTGATGGCTCCTCTCTTTCCACTCTAGGTCTTGCCACTACCTGACGCTCGGCTGGACATTTTCTTACCTGCTCTTTTTTCGTACTGTTGCATTCTTCCGTTTCCCAGACCCAACGCCATACACCAATGCCATACAACTCTTGCTCACTCTCAAGGTAGCCGAATGTGTTGTGGAAGGGGGTGGGAAGGGCCTCTCTAGGAAGTTCCATTTTCCATGGTAATCTCTGTGTTTCCCAGATGGTGAGTTTGGCCAATGAAGTGCAAGAATTCACCCAAGCAAAGAAGCAGGAAGTAGCATCGTTTACCAAGTCTTCTGTGATTGGCATGATCCCCAAAATGCCAGGACTGGTGGAGATACTGTGCTACAGCTATTGCTATGTGGGACTCATGACAGGTACTTAAGTTACCTAAAAGGGCAGGGCAAAATGTGTGTATGTGTGTCCAAACTTTGCCTTTGACAGCCATGTTGGCTTGTTTTGTTGTGTGAATCATGTGACCACTTTGGTCAACTGAATGTCCGTGTCCTGTAACCTCTTGCAGTGGAAGAGAGCATCCCCGGGTTTTACTGTTTTCTGTTTCGGCTTCTTTCGGAAGGCCATGAATGATGGCAGATCAAAAGAAGAGAAGAATCAGAATTTCATGTTTGCCCTCTGCTGTGCCTGTCTCTCTCTGCCTTTTGTTTGGGTCGTATTTTCTGTGTGTGTGCATGTGTGTGTGCAACCACCTTTCTGTTTTCTTTGCCTCCTGTCATTCCTGTTGTGTTGTCTTTGTGTTCTCCAGTTTGTACAGTGGCTTTTAATTGTTGCATCCTGAAAACAGCTATGCATTTTGAAATAGTTCTGCTGCAAACGTTGGCATCAGCAGTTGACAGTGAAAACTGAAATCCAAGAGGTTTTGGCTGTCTGCCGGACTCTTTCCAAAAGACCTAGGACTGGGCTCCTGGGCATTTGGGACTATTCCCCTGGGCCCAAGTGACACAGACTGCCAGGTTACTAAAATGTACGATTGTGTCCCCTGATTGGGACTGTGGTCTGAGTCTGCCTTTGTTCTTGTACCCAGGACCGTTTTATCGCTACGGCACTCACTATGACTGGCTGAACCAGCCCGACTCCTCAGCTATCCCCAGCTGGCAACCTCTGCTTTCCAGATCTAAAATGATTCCCATCTTCGGGGTGGCTTTCCTGGTGGTCTCTCACTTCTTTCCCCTTGACTACGTCCGAAGCGACGCCTTCTACGAACGAGGACTTCCTTTCCGCCTCTTCTACATGATGCCCATCTTTTTCGTCTTCCGCATGCGTTTCTACGTGGCCTGGCTGTGTGCCGAATGCGCTTGTATCGCGGCTGCCTTTGGGGCTTATCCGGTTGCTGCCAAGTCCCGGTCAGGCGGGGGCCCCACCGTGGAATATGAGCCTCTCAGCAGGTGAGTCACGGAGATGTTCTGTTTCTGGGGAGAGGCCCTGTAGCCAGTGTGAAGTCGTTTAGAGGAGTGTTGTGGAATTTGCAGCCTTTCCACTCTAGTGATGCCAGGGCGTAACCCCTTGCTGTCTCACAGGATTGTGGGTAATGAAATGCAAACACCTAGGTGTGGTCAAATTCTGCCCGTAAAATATGCAAAACGAATCAGTCGATCCTATACTCACTCAAGGGAGGGAAGGCAGCATGGTCTCCTCAGATCTCGGAAGCTAAGCAGGGTCTGTACTTGGAAGGGAGACCTCCAAGAAAGACTCTGCAATGGCAAGCCACCTCTGCTTCTCACTTGCCTTGAAAGCCCCTTGCTGGCGTGGCCATAAGCTCTTTACACATAGACACACATACTCACTCATTCTGCCTGCTCTGGAACCTGATACCATGTTTTCCCCCCACCCTTCCTTTAGGGAGCTTTTATTAGGCATATATGCCTTCCCCCTTATCATCCACACAACAACCTTGCAAAGTAGGTTAGGTTGAGAAAAGGCGACTGGTCCAAGGTTACCCAGTGAGCTTTCTCAGCCAGGTGAGGATTTGAACTTGAGTCTCCTAGTCTAGTACTCCGTCTGTCAATGTAGGTTACAAAAGATGTGTCTACACAGCAGGGTCTCTTAGCAGGCACCAGCTCTCTGGCGCAACATGTCTTACATGTAGTGTTCTTTTAGAAAGAGGGGCTTATGTCCCTTGCATTTTTGCAGGTTACAAAAGATGTGTCTACACAGCAGGGTCTCTTAGCAGGCACCAGCTCTCTGGCGCCACAACATGTCGTACATGTAGTGTTCTTTTCGAAAGAGGGGCTTATGTCCCTTGCATTTTACAGCTTTGGCTAAAGTTCTGAACAATAGTGAAAAGAGCAACAGTCAGAGTTGTGGCACGTCCACTGATTTAACTTGCTGAACAACATGCAGAGAGCAGAACATGAATGGCAGATGACTGAACCATAGCAGGCCACACCACATGCTCCAGGTAAAGGCAGGGGGCAAATGTAATCTAGTCCGTTCCACGTGAGCTCAGAGTGGCTTAGGAGAGAGTAAATAAGCAGTCCATTATGCAGCACCAGCCTGAGAAAGTGAGAGAGCCATCGATCTAACTATCCATAAAAATCGATTGAACAGCTAGGTAAATAGAAACCCTCCTGAGCACTTCCTATACAGTTTAGATCTGGCAGATTTTGGCGGAACTGGAGGACGCACATGGAGCAAGGCGCATGCTCAGCTATGAAGGGTTTTAAAGATTCTGAACCGTCATCAAGGGCAGTCATGTATATGGCACTGAAGTAGTCAATAGAGAAGGATACAAAAACATGAAGATTCTCCCCCCCCATCCTTTTTCCTCCAAGTAGACCAGCTGACGGGGAGGTGTCGAGCATCACCTATGACTATGAGACGATTAAGAACATCGACCCACATGGCACGGACTTCTGCGTCAAAGTAAAGGATGGCATGCGCTATTGGAACATGACTGTACAGTGGTGGCTGGCTCAGTACATCTATAAAAGTGCGCCAGTCCGTTCCTATGTTATGAGGTAAGAAGAATTCTACGGGGTGGGGTGGAGCTCAGTTGCCATTGGGAGGGCAAAGGATACAGGACGATTTTTAAAAGGGAGAAGAAAGTCTCTTGCAGGCCAGCTGGGGAGTGGGCTTTGAGGAAGGGTGAATTGTAAAGTTCTACAGTAGGTTGCTTCCGTATCAGCTCCAGAGTGTGAAGAACCTCCTTATTGGAGTGGTTAGAAAGGATTGTGAGTTGATTTGAATGCTGGCCAACAGAATTCTGGGAGCGATCGAGACTTGGCAGGAGTGTGTAGCTGAGGATTATGCAAGGGAGTGTACAGCGAGTGAGTTACAGACCAAAAAAGGAGGGGGGGAAGGCTAGTTTGAGTAGTACAATGAAGCTAATTCTGGGATAGGTGGGAAAAGGGAAGTGGTTGGTCGGTAGAAAGATGAAATGGAAGGGCATGATGGATTCATTTTGTCCAAAATGAGTAAAACGGAGACTGAATAGCTGGAATGGGGGGGGGGGTGAACAGTAAGCTTGCACGGAGAGAAGTGAAGGTGAATCATAATGGAGAGTGGGAAGACAGGAAATCGAAAAAGAGGGAATCCACAAAACTTTCTGTTCCTCATAAGGGACATGGTGACCACTTCTGAAATGGTTGGCGGCGGGGTCGTTTCGTAGAAAAAGAGCTAGGGGAACTCATTAGCATAACTCATTAGCATATGCCACACCCCCTGACATCACCAGAAGTGTGTCATAAGGCCGCACACCCCGCCCCCAATGGTCCTGGCCGCCGGCGGCCTTGCAGCTCCACTGCTGAGCCCCATGGGAGAGGCAGGGAGGAAGCAACTTACCCTCCCTCTTCTCCTGCCTCCTCCTGGCTGAATGAGGGCTGGAAGCGGGGCGGCCGGAAGCAGGGGGCGGGGCTTCATCATGTGCCCCGCCCCCCGTACCTCACCGGGGGAACTGCGATCTCCCCGGAAATGACCTCTGGTTGGTGGTTGCCATGAAACCGACAGGAAGTGATGTAAGACAAGTGGGGGGTTGGTAGGCTGCTTCACTTTGTGGCAAGAAATTCCCTGGAACGATGGAATGGGCAAGAGCCCCACTGTCTTTGAAAGAGAAGCATCTTTGAAAGATCCCTGGGTTTGGCTGGAGAGGGGCAATTGTGGGGCTGATCGATAAAGGCAACAGAGAGAGTGTTAGGGACTGATGAAGGAAAGGTGCAAGGGATCTAGTGAAGGATTCTGGTGATCTGTGGGTTGGCAGGAAGGAAGGGTTTCAGGGCTGTCTCCTTTCTTTCTCCACAGGAGCGCCTGGACGATGCTGATCTCTGCCTACTGGCACGGGATTCACCCTGGCTATTACCTCAGCTTCCTGACCATCCCGCTCTGCCTGGCGGCTGAAGGTGCGATGGAGAGCGGCCTCTTGAAGCGCCTCTCCCCCGCGGGGCGTCTCTTCGGGGACTGGGTGCAGTGGTTCTTGAAGATGCGGGCCTACGACTACATGTGCATGGGCTTCGTGCTGCTGACCTTTGAGGACACCGTCCGCTACTGGAGCGCCATCTTTTACTGCATCCACGTGGGGGCCGTGGCCTTCTTCCTCCTAGGGAAGCTGTTGGAAGGCCAGAGGGACCGGGGCGGCTCTCCAAAAGGCAAAGATGGAGCTGTGCAGAACCCCCTGCGGCAGGAGTGATGGGGCTGAGGCAAGGGGTGGCCGCTAGAGGTCGGCAAAGCCCACAAGTTGGAGCGCTCCCTGGGGTCCTGGAGATCGGGGAAGTGACACAAGACTCTCTCTTTTGTTGTTCGTTCGCCCCACTATTGGAAACCAGCGTTGGAGGTCCATGAATGGGAACCAGCCCTCCGGGCTCCCCCAATACCTGCTCTCCACCTGCTCCCCTGCTAGAATCCTGACCCCCTTCCCCAATTGTCACCTGCAGTAACTCTCTAGGCATCGGTCTTTCCCCAGGGAAATCCTCCCTTCCAGTCTTTTTTCCATCCCAGCTCCTATTTTGCACCCAGGGATCACTCCTAACAGCTGCCGGCTACAAAATGTTGTTTTATTTCTTTCCCCCTCCAACCTCAAGCCATTTTACACAGGAGCAAGACAGAACCGTGCAGGAATGAGCTGGCCTCTAATTCTTGCCGGCTTCTTCCAAGCTCCTGGCTGGCATTTTTTTTTGATCTCCTTCCCTTCCCCTCCCCACAACAGACACCCTGTGAGGTAGGTGGGGCTGAGAGAGCTGCTCTTGAGAGAACTGTAACTGACCCAAGGTCACCCAGCTGGCTGCATGTGTGTGTGTGGGGGGGGAGAATCATACTTGGTTCTCCAGAGTCCACCGCTCTTAAACACTACACCAAACTGGATTGAGGCTGCTCAGTTGCTGCCAAAGGAAGTGAGCTAGTGTTGATATTAATCCCAGAATCCTTCACTGGAAGGCATAACCCAACCTTCTCATCTACCATTTCAGCTCTCATACTTGCTGTTAAAGATACTGTTCACTGTTTGTGTCTCAACCATATGACCCAACCCAAATCCTTCTGCTTCATCCTGTCTGTGTACACATTTTGGCAATAGCATTAGTTTTCACAGCTCCTGTTCCAAGTGAGCCATGTTGGCCTTAGTTCTTCCACAGGAGCAGTCACAGCATAATACTTAGGACAGCGCCTTCAGTGTTCCACATGCATACAACGTTATTGCACAGGAGGGTAACTTCGTCTGAGACGGTCATATCCCATCCTCCTTCTCAGGGCG